GCGTTTGAGAGGCTGCCTCGGTTCTGGTGCCAGCGCCTAGCCCTATTGCAACAGACAGCCTACTCTTTCACTTACAGGTGATACAATGTCAGCACCGTGCTGAATATCCAGCATGCACAAAAGCACGTTTGTTTCTGGAGTCCAAGCCTTGTGGTTGCAAGCAAGGGCCCTTGGGCAGGTAACCAATATTCATGCCACAGAAGCAGAAGATCTGCAGGCAAACTGAGCACACCTGAGGCTAATCAACTGAACAATGGACTTAGCTGGTATTGGAAGGAAATCGGAGCTCCTGGTAGACACCCACACAAACAAAGGAAAACGTGTACACTCCACACAGAAGGAGCCCTTGTCTGAAACTGAGCTATGGGACCCAGGGGTGTTAACTGGCGTTCCCCCATGCCGCCCACAGAAGAGTCATACAGTTTATAATCTTTGTAAACACAGTTCTGCTGAGCAGATGACTAAATCCCCCCCTTCTCACATACCTTATTTTTATTCACATACCTGATTCTTAATTTACAATAACAAATGTCCCTGTTTAACCGCTTACATTCTGCCAGGTTGCGGAGTTAAAGCCCCAGTACAGGCCCCTGCCAAGGGCTACTCAGCCTGACGCCCTGCGCGGGCCCCAGGACAGACACCCTCCTCCACGGCCTGATGGGAAGGCGGAGGAGTCACAGGTGCACCTCTGGCTGCTGAGAGTGGCCGCACATGGATAGCATCTTTCGAACAATAAGAAAGCCAGTGATACAAGTATATATAAAAAAAGCAGATCAGGACACTCTCCCAGTGAAAAGACAGTGTTTTGCAAACAGATTTATCCAGCAGGGATCTTTGTCAAACCAGTAACTGAGACAGAGGTGTCCTGCAGAGTGCAGGTGGGCCGTTGCACCACCAGGGGGCGCAAGGAAGGAGGAGGAGGAGGAAGGCAAGAGAGCGAGGATGGGTGAAGAAGAGATGAGGGACAGGAGATGTGGGGAGGGCAGAGCAGAGGAACAGGGGTTTTAAGTGGGACAGGAGGGGAGAAAGGCGGTGTCAGAGATGGGAATGCGAGATTGGTGGGGACATGTGATGGTACGAGACACAATATATTCAGCCCCCTGCTGCTTGACCTTTTAGACAGCTGGACAACAACGGGGGGGGGATTATCCCCTTCCTGGACAAGAATGGCGAGACACGAAGAGGCTGTGCAAGACCGCGCATGTCAAATGTGCTGTACACCTCGGCCTCGAGGACAGAGCGCAGCGCCAGCTGTTCTCCATAAACACAGAGGGACTTCATGAGTCTACCTGATCCCCTGTCTGCCCGTAATCGCCTGGAAGGCAGAGCCATTTACTCCTACATTAAATGAGAACACATAAGCCTGTTAACTTCCATCGCAAAAAGCCCACCTGGCTTTTATAAATGAGCCCCCTAGTCAGTAATCAAGGATTTTTTTTTTTATATTCCATCATTAATTCATTCAAGAAGCAATTAGCTTTCAGAAAGCTGGGACATTCTGTATTCAGCCCCGATCGTCTCACGCAACAGAAACAGCTCAGGCTCTGAAGGGGATGTCAAAATAACCCGTGAAGCACTTTCTTACAAGCAGCATCTGAGACCAGTACAATAGCAACCGATCCCGTAGTTTTGCTGGAAAGAAAAACTACTCCCGCTGCTCCATTTTGGTTTTATGAACAGCGGACTCTTGCTCAGGCCCAAAAGATGTAAAAAAAAAACACACACAAATCTGTCACCCTAGTGCTTGGCTGGACTGTTCACCCAAAACAGCCGGTAGCTTAGAAAATCTGGAATGGCTCAAACGGCAATGCAGCAGGAGTGCTGTTTCTGTTGGAGTCACTGAGGGCTCAGGAAAGGCCCCTTCCCTGTAGACCTGTAGAGTCTGATTGTCTCCGTGGTAAGTAAAGAGACTGCCCCCCCCACCGCAAAATCAAGAGAAAAACAGGATGCCCTTGAGTGCAAGTCACACCCCCACCCCATGAAATCTGCACATATTTCTCTCACAGGCCAGCAGCTGGAACATCAGGACAGAGGAATTGCTGTTTCCAGCATCTGCCCTCGTGACAGCAGGAGGATTTCCAAGGATCGGCACCAAGTACAAACACTAAATACAAAAACAACCCGAGCCAACGGCACAAAAACAAGCCAAGGCAACACCATGCATCAGAAAAACTCCAGACGCAGCAGTGTCAGGTAAAAAGGTTTTTATCACTTTTGATCACTCTCTAGGAAAACTGTGTGTTCACCGTTGGCCAATTGATCTGGATTTCACCGTTTCACTGTCCCCCACCCAGTCTGTGTCTTTAAACGTTACGAGAAAAATAAAAAAAACTGCAACAATAATCATAATTAATAGCAATGTCTTACACTTACAGTATATAGCGCTTTTCTGGACACTCCACTCAAAGGGCTTTACAGGTAATGGGGTCTGCCCTCCACCACCACCAGTGTGCAGCCCCACCTTGATGATGTGACAGCAACCACATTGCACCAGTACCCTCACCGCACACCAGCTATCAGTGGGGAGGAGAACAGAATGGTGAAGCCAGTTCAGAGAGGGGGATTATTAGGAGGCCATGATTGGTAAAGTCCAATGGGAAATTTGGCCAGGACCCCGGGGTTACACCCCTACTCTTTTTGAGAAACACCCTGGGATTTTTAATGACCACAGAGAGTCAGGACCTCGGTTTTACGTCTCATCTGAAGGACGGCGCCCGTTTACAGTATAGTGTCCCCATCACTATACAGGGGCATACCTAATGCCCCGTCACTATACTGGGGCATACCTAATGCCCCGTCACTATACTGGGGCATTAGGACCCACACAGACTGCAGGGTGTGTGCCCCCTGCTGGCCCCACTAACACCACTTCCAGCAGCAACCTTAGTTTTTCCCAGGAGGTCTCCCATCCAGACACAGACCAGGCTCACACCTGCTGAGCTTCAGCGGGCTGCCAGTATAAGCAACCAACCGTGGAACACAGCTGCTATCCACACTCCCTCTGAGAGACCTGCAGTAAAGGCATCGCCACTCTGTAGCACACTGCAGTGCTTCTCCTCGAAAATGTTAACACCACCACTGTAACCTTGAAGCATTCGGTCTGGTTACAGAAGGAGTTTCAGTTTATCCTTAAAACACAACCAAGCCTATATCCATCCTGCCATTTTCTAATCTCATTTTCTAATTCAGGGTTGCAACCTATCAGGGCTAGAGCCTATCCCAGCAGGGCAACAGGTGCAAATCACTGTACACCCTGGACAGGACGCCAGTCTATCGCAGGACAGACGCGGACACAAAAAAAAAACATTCCTGCATCTGGAATATTTTCCACAAACTCCATGCTTTAGAGCAAATTCTGCAGAAGACGCAGAGCTCGATATTGCAATGATACGGGCTACAGATTCAGAGTTCAATCTTCCCTGTGGCCAGACTGCCCACATAATTAGGACATCTAATAGAAAAGTCTTTATCTTCAGTGTGGACAGAGGGTAAAAACTCAGATTCATAACATAAATAACATAGCACAGGTGCACACACAGAGCTCCTGGCCTCCTGATTCCCTGTCTCTAACCCTGGCATGCCAGTATTAGCTAAGTTTCCCTGCACTGTTGCCTTCTCTAAAGTTGTTTATAGCTCTTTATAGGCTGGAGGGAGGCAGTAATTAGCGCTAAAGAGTGCCAACTGTTCAGATCTGTAGCTTTAACCCAGGCCTAAGAATTGTTCCTGCAGTTCAGTGACTCGAGATTGCCTGCCAGTCTTATAAGAGCTGTTGAGATCAGGGGTTGCCACTACTGGTCTTGAAGACCCACACCTCTGCTGCCCAGTACTTCAGTTCAAGACTTTCAGTGACATAACTGGAGCCTTAATTGGACCCTAATATACCAATAGAAAGTAACTCAAACAAAATCATAAACATCTAGGCAGAAAGAAGGCTTGTACATATTCCAATAAAGCAACTTGTGAGTTCAGTTAAGGCTTCGGTGAGGTAAACTCAGGAGGAATGAACACCAGCAGGTGAGTGGGCCCTCCAGGACCAATAGAGCAGCCATTTTAAACAAAACAGGTTGAAGACAGACTGAGTTATGTGTGCTAAATATATATATATATTGCTGGGTATTTCTGAAAAGCATTAGAAAATATCTATTAAATATCTATTAAAAGCTGATCAGTTCCAGGATTTATGTTTCCGACCTCACAGACAGTAAATTCTGAAACAGATTTGCGGGGGCAACCGTGAGGGCTGCAATCTAAAACTATTGCCCAAAGGCCGATGCCTCACATCAGCAGTCTCAGTCAATAATCCCCCCCGCCCCGATCAACAGTTACATTGTGATTTATGGCTGCCTAATTTAATCTCGGCTCCCAATGCACAGACCACAAACATGACCTCTTTAACATCCACTCAGGCAGGACACTGCGAAGCACACAACTGGAGCTTCAGAAAGGTTAATCAGATTCTACCATTCGAATCAAATGGAGTACAAGGCAGGAACCCACAGGACTGGTCGATAAGAAGGGAAGAAACCAGTCCACGCTGTGGATGGGCCACTAAAGGACTCAGCACAGGATCTCCGCACCCTGTAGTATTTACTTGAGTATAGAAAAAGCCTTGATCCTCAAGGGGTACAGTTACAGTATACTTGAAGAGCAGAAGCTCAGTGTAACCAAGCCCCAGATCTTGCATATCTGTGATTGTGCATTCATGCCTTTGCCAGTGGGGCGCTCTGAGCAGTGTTAAAGAGTTGTCGTGCCCCGTTAGTCAGGGGAGGAGTGTCTGTGTTTAAGCTGACCCTTCCCTACATTCCCTCTGTCAGGCTCAGTGCAGTGTCTAGTCTGTCAGTCAGGCCGCTCGTACCTCCCACCCAGCCCATCAGGATCAGCGCCGTGGGAACGGGCTCGTGAACTCCCCCTCCTCGCGCCGCAGGTCGGCGGCCGGCCCGTGGGGCAGTGCCCATCTCCACCCCCCACCCCACCCCGGCTGCAGGGCGCCGGGCTCTTACCTCGTCCCACTCGGAGGCGAAAGAGGGTGACTTCTCCAGCCTCTTCTTCCCCCTGCTGCAGTTGGACACGGATTCGCTGCGGCTGCCCAGGCCGTCCTCCTCACCGGGGGGCGACACCAGCAGGTCCGAGTCCGATTTGGAGAGGCTGCGGGCCAGTTTGAGGTCGCCGGGGGGCCTGCTCCGGCCGCTGGGCAGCGTGCCGCCTTCCCTGCTGTCGGGCTTGGTGTGCACTACGGTGGCGTAAATGGCCTTCGGGTCAATGGGCACCTGGGGCCCCTGCATGGCTGCCCCCGCGGGAGGGGCCACTTCCCCCTGGCCTTCTCCAGTCACAGTCCTGGGCTCCTGGCTTGCGAGGGGAGCCTCGCCTGGGACGGTGAAGGGCTCCTCCTTGCTCTCGAGAACGGGCGAGGATCCGTGTAAGAGTCCCGAAAACTGCTCTGGTATCCCGCCGGCTTGATCCCCGTCGCTATCTGAAGAGGAGAACGAAGACACAACAGCAGTTACTAGAGAAGGGGGGGTCACTGACAGCGAGTGACGCCGAGTAGCTGGGCGAGAGGGTCTCGCAAGAAGCCGCCCACACAGTCAGAACAAATCAGTTATTGTTTGCAGGGGAAAAAAAAAAAACTTAGGGAGAGGCTGGCCGACTGTCTCCAGCGCCCCGGAGAGCCGTGAAATTCCGACCCCCAGCCTGCGGCAGGCCGCCCTCCCTCATCCCGCCTGCCTCCCGGTGTTGTTTGCTTTTCCCGGACTCTCTCGCTCCCTTCCCCTGCTTTATAAGGTCAGGTTCCAAGGAAGTTATGCGGTACTGAGGATTCCCAGCAGGAAAACCGACTGGCCTGCAACAGGATACGACGGGGCAAAAAAACACGCGCGTGCACACTCCATCCTGTTGCAAAACTCTTTGGTCCAAGGAGGGAAAACTTCTCTGATAACTTCTGACTCCCTTATCCTGCTGCCACGCTATCAGCTTTTAGCACAAACACCAATTCCAAGAATCTCTGCACTTTCAGTCTCAGGCCCAGGCCCCTGATCTCTGCTGGTCTCCGATACGAAAGAGCTACAGTTTGTTGTGATGTTCCCCTGGGGGGTAATGTCCTTTCTGCAGAGGAGACCGAACTGCCGCCCACTTCCGTCACGGGTGGGCGTCCCTGAGCCCGCCAGCACCCCCGCACAGTAATCCCGTGCCACGGCCTCAGCAGGGCAGTTTATCAACAGCCAGAGCCCACGAGAATGTGTGACTGCTTTCACGTCGTGGAGAGCAGAGACCTGAATCCCTGACCTGTGCCGCCTTTGTAGTGAGAAACGGAAGGAATCCTGTGGTTGTGCAAGACAACAGGCAGCCGTGAGCCATTTGCTTTCAATTAACATTTGACCCTCCCACATGTTAGCCACCGTTATTTCTGAATCGCCCCTTATAACTGGTTTTAAGGGGCGATAAAAACAATCCACCGTGCATAAACATGAAGTTCTCAGCTGGAGTTCTTCTGCCTTACAGGGCTGCACTAAAACCTCACATCGGTGCATCTTTTCTTGATCAATGACTGATTAGCATGGCTCCAAACGAGACCCTTCGGCCCCCTCCAGGCTTTTTGGTGAAAGTTAATTGATTTGAGGATCTCCTTTCTTAACAGAAACTGGAGTATCTGGTTTTAACAATATGGCTAAATAACTTGTCCCCTACTCCCACACCTCTCTGTGTAAAGAGGTGCTTCCTGCTGTTGCTTTTAAATGTGCTTTCACATGGTTTCCATTTGTGCCTTCTGGTAATTGTTTAATGGTTCATTCTAAATAAACCAGCAGAGTAAGTGCCTCTCAGGTTTTTAAATATTTGTATCAGATCTCCTCGTTCCAAGACTGAAAAGTTTCAGGTCTTTTAGTCTGTCAATGTAGGACACCCCTTAAAATCTGTTTCTGTTTATAAGCAGCAACATCGTTCCTACAGGGTGGTGACCAAAACTGTACACAATATTCTAAATGAGGCCTTACTGGTGTGTCACACAATGTTAATATTACATCCCTTGATTTAAAATTCTACATTCAAAATGACATCCTAACATTCTCTTTGGGCTGAGAATGCTTCTCCACATTAGTTGCTTCTCCACATGTCAAGAATAACGGATTTTAACCCACGAACCTCCACAAATTTAAAAAATACACCAATTAAAGAGTTAGTACCATCTGCCCCTCACAGGGTCTCCCATAAAGGCAGAACCAGGGAGAAGAAAGTAAGCAGTCAGAGAAACATTTAATGATAAGAATTATCCTTACACTTATATAGCGCTTTTCTGGACACTCCACTCAAAGCGCTTTACAGGTAATGGGGACTCCTCTCCACCAGCACCAGTGTGCAGCCCCACCTGGATGATGTGCCACTACACCAGCTATCAGTGGGGAGGAGAACTGATGAAGCCACTTCAGAGATGGTGATTATTAGGAAGCTATGACTGGTAAAGGCCAGGGGGAAAATTTGGCCAGGACAACAGACCAAAATAGGAGTTAACACCCTTACATGCCTATTTGAAGAATATTGTTGCAACAGGCCTTAAGAACTGCTTCTCAAAAAGCAGGGCGACGTTTAATCTGCCACCAGGGAGGCTGCAGCAGACAAAGACCCAAATGAGGGGTGAACCCGCCCCCTGCTGCCCCCTCTGCCCGTGCCAGAAGGACTGCACCCCGAGGAGAACAGGGTTCGGCAGACCTGCTGTATGTCTCTTCAGACAGCCACCGAGGGTTGGGGGTTCGACGTTGCTTGAGGAAGGAGCCGGGTCCTGATGGCGCCGGCCTTATCCAGCTGGAGGTAACCCCGTGAGGGACTAGATTCCCATCCTGGCCTCAGGAGATCCAGAACTCTCAACCCCCTTAACACCGCCGATTTCAGAACGAGCTCAGGCCCAGTAAGACAGAAGAACTGAACGTCCCACGCAGTGAACACGGTGAGGTTTTTCTTTACAGCCCGTTTCGCCGAATCGAAAACAAAATGCCTCTTCCTTGGGTGGTATGTTGAAGAGCTTTCTTTTTTTTGCCATGTCCTCAAATTACCCCCTTGCCCCTTTTTTGCAGCAACACAAGGATTTCAAAGACGTCCTTAGCATGCCCCTTTCAGCACTCTAAAAAAAAAAACACACAACTTGGCGCGTCTGGTTATTTTAGAGTGTGATGCCTCGGGCCCAACGTTTTAATTATCTGAGAGAGCCACAGAGAGCGCGCGCGTTGTGCTGTGTAGCGCATCCCTACCCAGCGAATGGACACTCTGCCGAAACCAAATGGAAACTTTACATAACAGCCGGATGAGCAAAGAGCAGGAGAAAAAACGATTAGCGGCCCAACGTCCACAAACAACCCTTGGAAAGACAACAGCTGACTTGCTGTCAAACCCTTCCAATCTCACCAACCACACCCCCTGCCCCACAGTGCAAAAGAATTTAAAACGACTGCAATAAATCATCAGACTTCGGGGCCTGGTCTAATGGTTCCTTTATAAGTTTCTTCCTACGCATGGGATCAAACTTTCAGATCTGAAGCTGTAGTGATGCATCATTTGAACGACTGCTGTGGAGTCTTTCATCAAAAGACTTTTTAATTATTTACAAGAAAGAAAAGAGACAGATGGCGATTTTTACTAAAACAAATGCAGGCACAGAATCAGGGGGGGTCTATGAATCACTAAAAGAGGTGCAACAAAGCATTTAAGATGAAACAAAATTGTACTGATGCTAGACACATCCGTTAACCTTTTGGGTACTGGCAACGTGCTTTATGAGCATCGCCTTCCGAGCCCCAGATACCGACATCTGGCCCTGTCAGAACAGATGTTGTGCAAAGTCTTAAGTGCAATTTACTCCCTCCCCTACGGAAGCAAACGGAAAGACTCTGGCCGAAAACACCACATGATCTCAACTTTTATGTTGGATGAGTACAGATGCTTTGACAGAGAACCCTGTAATGGAGATCTGCCGGCATCTCTACAGAGCTCTGTTACTTTAAAATGAAACGCCTGTCTAAATAGCGGAATTGTACGCTTTTCCTGCAGTGTTTCAGCTATATAAATACCGGCCTTTGTTCCTGACCAGCTGCATCTGGCCCTGCGCAACCCACAAGGCCTGACCACTGGTTTGGACCCTGGCTGGGCATTGCAGTGTGGCAGGTTCTGACACACTGTGAAAGGGGCACTGAGACATAGGGCCTTATGCTGGCAAGGAATCAGAAAGTGCTGATGTTAGACTGACAAAGCACCCATTGAAAATGCCTTTTTGCTAACTGAAGTGGGTCCCGCAGGCTTAATTACTGGTAGCTGGTACAATACAATACGTTAAGAGCCTCTATGATTTCTTGCAGCTGAATCACAAGCATGGCTTGTGTGTCTAAAAGTGCACAAAAGCTTGGCAGCCTAGTCAGGGCACAACTGCTAGTAGCTAGTAACAGGCACAGCAAATGCAAGACAACTGCCTTTCAGCCACCCTGATAAGCAGCTGCGAAAAGAATCCCACTGCATTCCAGCGCCCATCTCTCCCCTAGAGGAGTGGCAGTGCAGCTGTTACACTGCTTGGATGTCCCAAGCAAAACGCTCTCCGAGAACAGGCCGACAACTGAAAATATTTCCTTGGAAGATCCCAATCCCCCGCGGCAAAGTCACTAACAGGAGAACGGGGGATCAATGAGATCAATGTAAGACGGAAGACAAAAGTCAGAATGTTAGCTAATATCTTTCAGCTTTTCTACACATCTTAAGGCAGCTGACTTTTTACACAGCATAATCATCTACTGTAATTTGAAAAACAAACCGATCTGAAATTGTTACTCACCTCGGCTTTAGTCCTGCAATCTACATACTGCAGCGGGAGAATGAGGATCTACAGACACACCTATTCTGACACGCCCCCTGATCTACAGAGATGCCTTCCCTGACACATCCTCCTGAGGATCTGCAAAGTTTCCCCCCCCAGGATCTGCGGACACGACCCCCCGAGGATCTGCAGACACCCCCACCCCCCTGAGGATCTGCAGACAGGCCCCGCCCCCGAGGATCTGCAGACAGGCCCCGCCCTAAAGTTCTGCAAAGTTCCCCCGCCCCAAAGTTCTGCAAAGTTCCCCCGCCCCCAGGAACTGCAGAAATGCCCCCCCGGGATCTGTGGACACGCCCCCCAAAGGATCTGCCGGACACCCCTCCTTAGGACCTGTACACATGCCACCTTGGACACAACCTGTCACACACATTCCCCACTCGGCAAGCTGCAAACTCCACAGAGAGGGACAACCACCTGGAGAAGTCAAACCCCTCTCATTTACAACTCTGCCAACATGCAGGAGCCAACCAAAAGCAAGTTTCTGGGGGATTTAGGCCCACCGAACCCTGATGGAGTTCTAAAGAGAACATGGAGAAAAGCCTGAGTGCATGCTCAGTTCCAGAACACACACAGCGGTGTGTTGGATGCAACAAAGAGATGAACTACACTTTTTGCACAGTGACTTAAAACAGTTCGTGGACAGCACCCTCCAAATGTATTCAAACCTCCAATGAAATAGGATATCATATTACAGGATGCATTATGGAATATTGAAAATCTAAAAATGTTGTACAGTACAGTACATGGTTGTACTGCACAGAGCAAAGTCATAGATCAAGTGTGTAACACCTGACAGTGTAAACACTTCCAGCTTCAAAGCAGAGGGGATGTTTGCTGAGATCTGTTTTCTGAGATCTGGGAAGTCCCCTGATCAAAAACAATTGTAAAGATAACCTTGGGATACCTAGGTGTAGGTCAATGACTGTCAATGAGCAGTCCAGAAAAGATCCCATATAAGATCACATTAAGAGCACAGGAAAGAAGAAATGGAGAGAGAAGAGAGGAGGGAAAGAAGGTCAGATGACAAGAGGAGTCAGGAGGAATAGTGACTTGAAGCTTGCACCAGGCGAGAGCCCCTACTTCATGATCATTGTCCAGCAGCCATATCACCCCGCAACTCACAACTGGAAACCCACTGAAGCTAAGCAAGTGTGAGCCTGGTCAGTACCTGGATGGGAGACCTCCTGGGGAAAAACTAAGGTTGCTGCTGGAAGAGGTGTTAGTGGGGCCAGCAGGGGGCGCTCACCCTGCAGTCCATGTGGGTCCTAATGCCCCAGTATAGTGATGGGGACACTATACTGTAAACGGGTGCCGTCCCTCAGATAAGACGTAAAATTGAGGTCCTGACTCTCTGTGGTCATTATGGCGTTTATTGAAAAGAGTAGGGGTGTAATCCCGGCGTCCTGGCCAAATTTCCCATTGGCCCTTACCAATCATGGCCTCCTAATAATCCCCCTCTATGAATTGGCTTCATTACTCTGCTCTCCTCCCCACTGATAGCTGATGTGTGGTGAGCTTTCTGGCGCACTATGGCTGACGTTGCATCATCTGCACATTGGTGGTGGAGGGGAGTTCCCATTACCCATTAAAGCGCTTTGAGTCCAGAAAAGCGCTATATAAGTGTAAGTAATTATTATTATTATCACCCGAACAAAGCCTAGTCAGAGGCTAGAGCCTAGTCTAATACTTAGTCAGAGCTAAGTATTAGAACCTTGCTAAAGACAGCTTGCTATTCAGTGCTATTCAGTGTTTTTGGGGAACTTGGGTTTCCTGGGCAAAGGAAGCTTTTGGATGTCCTGGGAAAATGATTGCTGGACAGATCTGAGAGAGTCACCTTCTCTAAACTCCTTCAAATCCAGACTCAAAACCTTCTTTCGAAGAGCTTTTACTTAACTGGTTCCATTCTTTACCCTTCTACTTTTGTTAGTACCACAATCCACGGTCTCCTCCGTGTATTGTAATTGTGGTTTATCTTTTGTATTCTTTTTATTTATTGTTGTTGTCATTCTGTAAAGTGCTTTGAAAAGCCACCTTTAAAGGCACTATATAAAACAAAGTTTATTATTATTATAAATGATACCTCAGTCAGAGATGTCTTTCCTGCTTCTGGGTGTATTTCTAGAATCGAAGAATAGGCCCCGATTTATTTTGTGGCATCTGGGTTTGCAGAGGCAGAGATTTAACTGCAGGTTGTACTGTATTGCATTATTAAGAAGGCATCTTATCTATCATTGTGGCCTCTGTGGGCATTTAAGGAATTCAACAGTTAGTAGCAGTCTGGGATTTTTTCTGGGTGATTAGAATGTTAGGCCTGTGGAATGCCTTGTTCATACATTTTGTAAATATGTAACTTTTGTGTTGTATGCTTCGTTGTGTGTAGTGTTTGTCTTGTCATTATTAATAAACATTTGTTTAACCATGTGTGCCTGGATTATTACTCTTTTCAACAAAGCTGTGCCAGAGAATAAACAATTCACGTGCCTCTTAATTATACCAAATGCTTGGGTGTATTCTGGAGAAATCACTTACAAGTTGGGGGTTAAGAAAAATTATTTTACTTATTGACTCGGACCGTGCCGTCCATTCCTGAAATTCACAATTTTTAGTAACCCCCATTTGTAACAGTATTTTGCAAATCCTCCTCTGGCAGGATTACAGTGGATTAAAATGTCTTAATAGACTCTACAGTGGAAAAGTGGCAAATGTGGATTGCATTATAGCCACCCCTCCAATAGCAGTCTTCTGAGAGCTCTCTAACATTAAAACAATACTGCTACTACTGAACATCTTAAGCCTGTTATCTCTGTTTATACCCCAGGTAAATGGAAAACCTTCTGAGGCATCTACATGGTTCAACGGATTTCCACTGCACTTTCAAAGAGCAAAATGTTACTGTAGATTTTTTTAAACAATTTTCTTAACATATTAAGAGGCGTGAATAAATGTGAATCTCGTGCTTTCTTAACTTATTTATGACAAAGACTTTTTCTGCACTGCTACTACAATTAGAGTTTAACAATTTTAGAATCGGTTTTAGCAAGCGATCATCCAATCCATAAATTCTGTGCTGTACTGCATGTCTTTTGTTCCTACTTAACTGGGCACTTGAACAAATCCAGAGGGCACTGTATCCAAAACACCAGACAGACAAGAGTCAAAGCTCCGGCAGCAGAAACAGCACAATGAACTTCAACCTTGTAAAACCCGGAAAAGATCAGACTGCTATGCAATGGGAGTCTGCGAATGGAAGCCCCAGCTCACCCACCCCGCAGACTGGTAAGTTTTTAAGTGCTGTAAACTTCGGATAGGATGAGGTGTGGGCGAGGGTCTGCGGTTCTCAGGCTGCAGAGGCTTTTGGACACAGCCGACTTTCACAGCGTGGGGGGAGTGAGAGCAAGCGGCACCTGGGATACAGCTCGAACGGAGACAGGCCTGAGCAGAGTGTGAATCCAAGGAGACAGGGCAGCACGTTTCTCTGTAATGTGCCTGTGAGACGGCCCACATGCAGGCGGGGTGCAGCTGAGGAACGTTTCAGCTAATCAAGGGTCTCCCAGATCTGGGCTGCAGGTACAAGGAGGCCCCGCTTCGCCAATCTAGGGTGGGGGGTGATCTTGAAAGCACAGATTTTCTGAGAAGGGAATTACAGGAAGCCTGTTTTTTTTAAGCAAAACGGTCTTTGTGGACACCTTAAGAAGAGGAACGCCCCACTCTCCCAGTGGGACTGCTTTTGTAACAAAGGAAACGCCACTCCCATCAATTCAAACACTGCATACGAGTACAGTATGTCATACTTCTGTCCCGCACACTTGCAGGAAAACAATACTCACCCCAGAGCCAGGTCAATAATAGCTATTTGGATACAATGGATTCTGTTCCTTTTTCTGTGCATTTTCCAGGTCCAGAGAAGTGGGCCCAGGACAGGAGGAGCTCAAATTAGAGGATTGCCACACAACCTCACTGGTTCCTGGTTTATTTTCTGTGCTGCAGGTCTGCTTTTTGAATTGACCAAAGCAACACCATGTGCATGTACAAAATCTCACAATCTGCAAAACAAAGCCCACTGATCGACTGATCGTGCAGAATTTGCTCACCTGCAACCTATCCCATGGACCTGTAAGGCTCTGCAGGATATATACCGTCGTTTTTAAGTGATGATGTTTTTGATTTTCATTGTGGCGCAGTGTTTGGCATTGCTGGCCCAGGGTTCAATTCTGGGCCTGGGGTTCTATCTGTGTGGAGTTTGTATGAGGGTCTTCTCTGGGTGCTCTGGTTTCCTCCCACAGTCCAATGACATTACTGCTAGGATAATAGGCTTCAGGGAAAATTGGTCCTTGTGTGTGTGTGTGTAACCCTGAATTGGTAATAAAGAGGTTAGAAATGAATCATTATTCTTGTATTGCCTGTAGACTTGTTTCCGACAGTGGTATTTGGATTTAAGCACCCAGGAACTGGAAAATCCTAGGGCCCTGGATTGTACTCTACTGGGAGGATGGAACAAGCAGCCCAGCTGATGCTGAAGCTGGGTGGGAGATCCTTGGATCCATGAGCAATTAATCTCGACGGGATGAAAGACCTCCTCTTGTTTGGCAACTTTATGTCCTTGTGCGTTTTATAGAGCCCTGTGCCTCAGCGCTAATTTATTTACAGCTGACTGCCAAACTGAGAAAATTCAATGTCACCTGCCTTAAATAAAGGCGTCTGCCTAAACCATTCATCACCTAGCTATTTAAGGAAGGATCCTGGACACGGCGTGACCTGGCAGATTGTCTGGACTACAATTTCACCTCTCAGGGTGAGGAAGAGCCTGGTATTCATGCACATGGTTGGAAAAGGTGAAGCACAGAAAGGCATCACATGACAGACTAGGATGGCAGGGCCTTTTCTGGAGAAATCCAAACCACAGATCCCCAAAGGCGTTAACCGGACAACGTTTCATCACTTTTTGAAGTGATGCTCTTATGATATCACTTCTCTGAGAAAAAATAGACCTTTTTGTGTTCTGTTCTAGTTTGTTCTTTGTATATTCTGGACTGTGAGCAACTCTTCTTAGTGCACTTCTCACTGACTGTACTGATTGTATTGTATTGTTGTACTATTGTATCATTCCGTTACACTGTGCTGTGTTGACTATGTTAGGCTGCTGTTGCACTGCAATTTCCCTCACGGAATCAATAAAGTATCTATCTATCATATGCGAACACGTAATTTGACTAGTTCAAAAACAAATCAAGACGAAATACCAACAAAAACATCTGGGGGGCTGTGGTTCTCAAGTGCTAGCGTTTAGGACACTGCCAGTCTGAGTGAATCGATCTGATAGAGCAGGCAGAGCTGGGTCTATTTCTCACAGGCCCCACTATGACATCAGATGTGTGGAGAACTATTTATTATGTGGGAGCAATATTTTTTTGTAATTCATAAATTCCTTAAGGCTTGAAACTGGGGATCTGCAAAATACCAATTACAAGCCAGCAGGGGTTAAAATACTGCCAGCTCTGAAAGCAGGAGATGTAAATGAATGATTTGGCAGTGCTCACCTCCTGAGGCAGAAGGGCCTGGCCGTCCGGGGCCCAGGGTCGCTCCTGGCAGCTTCAGCGAATCACAGGGCTGGCCTGAGGGTCGCAGGTCGTGGGGCGGGGCTGTCTTTTGGTGAGACTGTGGGAGAGACAGATGGGACACCCCTCAGAGAAGAACTTACAGTCCATCGCCGTTGGCAAAACGCAGAAGTGCGACACAAATATGGTTTAAAAAAAACTGAACTTGGATTAGTAGAAAAGGACTCGCAGCTAATGTGTTGTTAGGAGACAGGAAGGGTAGAGAATCATGAGATCAGGATGGGGGTAGTAGAGAGACTACTCTGGCAGTAAGAGATGGCGAGAAACTTTGCAAAGAGGTAACGAGGCAGAGAAAAGCACAATAATTTTGAAGATAACGAGAAGTGGTAGATAAGGCCATTGTGGGGAGGAGTACAGGTGAAGATCTCAAGCAAGGAACAGACAATACTCCAATGAAGGCCATGTCTGTCTTAAACAGTAAGTGGTGGATGTTAAGAGCCAACTCTTCCTACTTTCCAAACTCCATTCTTTAGTGAAAAATGGTCCTGGACCAGTCGCAGGACTGCGCCATCTAAGTGTGCTTACACATCCAGTACCATGGTGCAGGCAGCCTTCAGCGGTTCATACAACACCTCTCTGTTAAGCACATCACTTGCTGTACAAGTTCTGGGCACTGATCCAAACAGTTGAAGTGGGCACATCACAGTGCACCCTACTGGCCCGGCTACAGAACTGCACCTCAAAGGGTGGAGAAGCTTAAAGCAGCGACTCCAGGAAATGAATGTCCTACAGGAAATTAATGTGAACTACCGCTGGATAGAGGTCTGTACAGTACAGGCCACCCTATTTTTTAAAAATATTTTACAGGGCTAAAGTATGGAAGAGCATTTATGAATCTGGACTTACAATCGGCAGGCAGTGGGTTCAAATTCCCTAGTGAGACACTGTTGTTGTCACTTTGAGCAAAGTGCTTCAACTGAATCTTACAACGTTTCTAGAATTAAAAACAATCATTCATTCAAATCAGCCTCAGGTAATCTGGAAAAAGTCCTTTTTTAAAAAAGGCACAGCCAAGGCATCAGAATGGGCTACAGGCCCCTAGCCTTTCACTTTCACACAGACAGATAAGGGTGCATGGGCTTTTAAGCATTCCGAACCAGCCACAGTCCTTGACAACTTTCTTTCTGCAAGGGGAGTCTGTGTTCCCAAACTGACAGTTCAATCATTCAGCAGCTTTGCCAAAGGCTAGTGGGCCTGTCTTAATTAAAAGAGCAGCAGCATCAAATCGTGGTGAAGGCTGTATAAGTCAGATATCAGACACAGGTCTGATGTTTGAATTTGAAAGAAAAAGGCTAGTACAGTTTACACAGATACACAATAACTAA